CGATATATTTCCAAGTCAGGATGGTGAGTGACTTGGAAGGGAACTTGGAAGTGGTGGTGTTCCCATATATCTGCTGCCCTTGTCCTTCTAGACGGAAGTAGTTGTGGGTTTGGAAGGTGCTGTCTGAGGATCTTTGGTGAATTTCTGTAGTACATCTTGTAGATTGTACACACTGCTGCTACTGAGCGTCGGTGGTGGAGGGAGTGAATGCTTGTGGGTGTAGTGCCAATCAAGCGGGCTGCTTTGTCCTGGATGGTGTCAAGCTTCTTGAGTGTTGTTGGGGCTGCACCCATCCAGGCAAGTGGGGAGTAATCCATCACACCCCTGACTTGTGCCTTGTAGATGGTGGACAGGCTTTGAGGAGTCAGGAGATGAGTTACTCGCTGCAGTATTCCCAGCTTCTGGCCTGCTGTTGTAGCCACTCTGTTAATGTGCTGAGTTCAGTTGAATTTCTGGTCAATGGTAACCCCCAGGATGTTGATAGTGGGGGATTCAGTGATGGTAACACCATTGAATGTCAAAGGGCGGTGGTTAGATTGTCTCTTACTGGTGATGGTCATAGCCTGGCATTTGAGTGGCGTGAATGTCACTTGCTACTTGTCAGCCCAAGCCTGGATATTGTCCAGATCGTGTTGCATTTGAACATGGACTGCTTCAGTATCTGAGGTGTTGTGAACGATGCTGAATATTGTGCAATCATCGGCGATCATCCCCACTTCTGACCTTATGATGGAGGGAAGGTCATTGATGAAGCAGCTGAAGATGTTGGGCCTAGGACACTACCCTGAGAAACTCCTGCAGGATGTCCTGGAGCTGAGATGATTGACCTCCCACAACCACAACCACAACCACAACCATCTTCCTCTGTGTCAGGTATGACTCCAACCACCGGAGCGTTTGCCCCCTGATACCCATTGATTCCAGTTTTGCTCGGGCTCCTGGATGCCACACTCGGTCGAATGCAGCCTTGATATCAAGGACTGTCAATCTCACCTCACCTCTGGAATTCAGCTCTTTTGTCCATGTTTGAATCAAGGCTGTAATGAGGTCAGGAGCTGAGTGGCCCTGGTAGAACCCAAACTGGGCGTCACTGAGCAGGTTATTGCTGAGCAGGTGCTGCTTGATAGCACTGTTGATGACACCTTCCATCACTTGACTGATGATCAAGAGGAGACTGATGGCCGGGTTGGATTTGTCCTGCTTTTTACGCGCAGGACATACTTGGGGAATTTTCCACATTGTCAGGTAGATACCAGTGTTGTAACTGTACTGGAACAGCTTGGCTAAGGGAGCTGCAAGTTCTGGAGCACACGTCTTCAGTACTATTGCCGGAATGCTGTCAGGGCTGGTACCCTTTGCAGTATTCAGTGTCTCCAACCGTTTCTTGATATCACGTGGAGTGAATCAAATTGGCTGAAGGTTGGTATCTGTAATGCTGGGGACCACTGGAGGAGGCCAAGATGGATCGTCTATTTGGCACTTCTAGCTGAAGATTGCTGTGAATGCTTCAGCCTCATCTTTTGCACTGATGTACTGGGCTCTTCCATCAGTGAGGATGGGAATATTTGTGGAGCCTCCTCCTCCAGTGAATTATTTAATTGTCCACCACCATTCACAAATGGATATGGCAGGACTGCAGAGCTTAGATCTGATCCATTGGTTGTGGGATTGCTTAGCTCTGACTATCACTTGCTGCTTTCACTGTTTGGCGTGCAAGTAGTTCTGTTTGGTGGCTTCACCAGGTTGACACCTCATCTTCAGGTATGCCTGGTGCTGCTCCTGGCATGCCTTCCTGCATTCTTCATTGAACCAGGGTTGATCTCCTGGTTTGATGGTAATGGTTGAGTGGAGGATATCCTGGGCCATGAGGTTACAGATTGTGTGGGAGTACAATTCTGCTGCTGTTGATGGCTCACAGCGCCTCATGGATGCCCAGTCTTGAGGTGCTAGATCTGTGCGAAGTCTGTCCCATTCAGCACGGTGACAGTGCCACACAAGACGTTGGAGGTTGTTCTCAATTTGAAGGCGGGACTTCGTCTCCACAAGGATTGTGCAATGGTCACTCTTACCGATACTGTCATGGACAGATGCAACTGCAGCAGGCAGATTGGTAAGGATGAAGTCAAGTATGTTTTTCCCTCTTGTTGGTTCCCTCACCACCTGCTGCAGACCCAGTCTAGTAGCTATGTCCTTTAGGAACCAACCAGTTCCATCAGTAGTACTGCTGCCGAGCCACTCTTGGTGGTGGACATTGAAATCCCCCACCCAGAGTACATTTTGTGCCCTTGCCATCCTCAGTGCTTCCTCTAAGTGTTGTTCAACATTGAGGAGTACTGATTCATCAGTTGAGGGAGGATGGTATGTGGTAATCAGCAGGAGGTTTCTTTGCCCATGTTTAACTTGAAGCCATGAGACTTCATGGGGTGCAGAGTCAATGTTGAGCACTACTAAAGCAACACCCTCCCGATTGTGTACCAGTGTGCGTCTGCTGTGTCTGTCCTGCCAGTGGGACAGGACACATCCAGGGATGGTGATGGTGGTGTCTGGGACATTGTCTGTGAGGTATGATTCTGTGAGCATGACTGTGTCAGTCTGTTGCTTGACTAGTCTGTGTGACAGCTCTCCCAATTTTGGCACTAACCCCCATATGTTAGTGAGGAGGACTTTGCATGGTCGACAAGGCTGTTTCTGCCGTTGTCTTTTCCGGTGCCTAGGTCGATGCCAAGTGAGCCATCCAGTTTTATTTCTTTGAGTCTCTGTAGAGATTGGTACAACTGAGTGGCTTCCTAGGCCATTTCAGAGGGCAGTTGAGAGTCAACCACTTTGCTGTGGTCTGGAGTCACATGTAGGCCAGACCAGATGAGGGTGGCAGATTTCCTCCCCGAAGGGCATTAGTGAACCAGATGGGTTTTTATAACAATCGGCAATGATTTCATGGTGATCAGTAGATTCTTAATTTCAGACTTTTTTTTAAATTCCAATTCCACCATCTGCCATGGTGGGATTTGAATCCGGGTCCCCAGAACATCAGCTGGGTTTCTGGATTAATAGTCAAGCGATAATACCACTAGGCCATTGCCACTATGGCAGGGAATAGAGGTTCCCTTCTTGTAATTAAACCCAAAACACCCAGAGAAGCTTGCCTCACCTTCATAATCTGTTAAAATGTGGTTAAATGAAAGAAAATCCCTGCTATCCTCTTTATAAGTAACAATTTATTTATTTAACCCTCACACAGTGAACAAATTAACAGACTTGTTAACAAACTGAACAATTTCCCCCCAGACTTCTAACTACACCCTAACTGGCCTAAATTCTACTGGAATGCTGTTCAAATCAACACAAGTCCCATTTATATAAACCCAATTAAAAGACAACAATAAATGAAGACTTAATCTCTCCAAATTCACACAGACGGTGTCATCTGGAACGCTCTGCCTTCTTTACACCACAAACGCCTTTCTTCTGCTAATTCTGCTACCATAAAACATAGAACAGTAGAGCACAGTACAGGCCCTTTGGAACACAATATTGTGCCAATCTATTGTCCCACTCTAATATCAGGGATGTTTTTCTCCGTAATTTCTTTGGTGAAGACTTTGAGCTAAAATGCTGTGGTACCTTTTTCAGATAGATGGTGCTTTCTTAGAGAAATTAGTGATTTCTTGAGAGAGCTTGGGGCATATTTCACAGATGGCGGACTTGCTTTCCCCTCAGATAACAGTTGGCTCTCAGCCTGATTTCCAAAAACCCTCATTTTATACAACACCCTGATGATATATCAATTTCTTATCATATGATTGGTTTCAGGTTGTCAAAACCATCAGTTTTAAATTCAATTGATTTTCTGAATCTAGGTGCTTGGTTTAAACTAATTGGCCAAATTCAAACTTATTGTCAAAACATCAAAACAAGACTGCCACCTGTAAGGCCTTTTGACACACTTGTTTCACTTTTTCAGGCTCTCTGTACAGTACGCACAAGTTCCAAGCACAGACAAAGCACAACTATTTTTTTAAAAGGGGTCACACACTGCTTTTCCTTCAATTCATGAGTATTCTATACAACTCCGTAACAAAGACATGTCCAGGACACAGCATTTTCAACGGAATCAAAAGCACTAAGACGGTCAGATAATGGAATGCTTCTCTCCCAGAACTCAACACAATGGAATAAAATAAAACTTGCACCTCCCAAGTTAAAATGTGGATGGTGTACATTGCACAAAAAGGGAGTCGTTCATTTGTAAAAAGACTGAAGCCTGACTAGGAGAGGATTTAATTTTTTAAAAAATGGAAAAACCAATGGCGACAGCATGGGGCTGACATTGCTGTACAATGGATTCCAGATGAAGCAATGCCTTAGCAAGGCCGATCCTGCTCTCACACTGCTTTTCAATGCAGAATGAGAATTAGGTTCCCTGATATCAATATTAACTACTAGTGATTTTATTCACATTTGATTTGTGGTGCCAGAACTTCCTATCCACTCCTGATGTTGTTCTTCCCCATTCTGAGATGAGTCCATACGTACATGCATTGAAACATCGGAAGTGGATCTTATACATTACATGTTCCACTCCTCTGATTTGATTTATTATTATCACATGTACTCAAATACAGTGAAAAGTATTGTTTTGCATTCTATCCAGATTTCGGCCTGAAACGTTGACTTTCCTGCTCCTCTGATGCTGTCTGACCTGCTGTGTTTTCCCAGCCTCACACCTATTGGTTCAAATCAACTAAACATAGGCTGAATGCAGTGTGTGTTGGAGTAGTGTGAACAAGTTTGTTTGTTTTTAAAATTGGTGCTTCCTAGCCATAAATCTATAAAGCAAAATTTATTCATTAATTTCTTAATTCCCAACAGGAGTTTTAGGAACTTGAAAAGCATTAACTAAGCCTATGTCCATTGGTCATGGAACCTTTACATTCTTAAGCTTATCACTAAATTACTACATTAACTCAATGTATTTCATTAAAAAAAATTGTTCCAAATACCTGAAACTCATCAAAACATAACAGGCAGCTCTCATCGCTGATTTCTGCGGCGATAGGTGCTATTGGATCATAGGATTTGGCCATTAAGCCAGGTTTTCTTTTTGGCAAAGTCTGCTTTAACCGATGAATTCCTAATGTAGCAAAGTTGAAAGACTGGTTATTGTTATTCATAGAACCTATATTGAAAACTGTAAAAGAAGTGTCTAGAACCAGACACAAACAATGGTTGTGGCATTTTGGTAGTGCATTTCAAATTTAAGCAGTTCATCCATTTTATCATTAGTAGAATTGGAAGGTTCAATGGATATTTACGCGCATTTCCCCCTTTAATGTAAGGCATCAGGTCAAGTACAAGACACAGTAAGCTAGATCCTCAACAAAAATTGAAGATAACGGAAATTGTTGCATTTATAACTTGTCTCATACCTATTTTGCATTTTATGCTGTTTTCAGTCAGGCAAATCCACTGCGTTTTTCATATTTCATAAAAAAAGTTTCTCTCATTGAGCACTACATTTTCTGTTCTTGTCTGAATTATATAGAGAATTATATATACACAGCACAGTGTCCTTCAGCCCAAACAATCCATCTGGTGTTTCTGTTCCACATGCAGACTCCTAGATTGGTGGATGATCTAGGCTGTACTTTGTCAAAAAGTAAAGAACTCAGGAGGATCTTCATGATTCTAGAGTGGTGAGAATGTGGAACTCCCTACTGTGTGAAATTGTCAAGCTAACAGCATTGATAGATACATTGCAAATCTAGGTGAGTACATGAGTGAAAAGGAATGGAAGAAGCTTAATTGGTGGCATCGACCTTTTGGGCTGAAATTTTTTTTCTTTATTCATGAAATGGCTGAAGGCATTGCTGGCCAGGCAGCACTTATTGCCAACCCCTAATTGCCCAGAGGTCTGTTCAGAGTCAAACACATTGCTGTGGGTCTGGAGTCACATGTAGGCCAGACCAGGTAAGGATGGCAGTTTCCTTCCCTAAAGGACATTAGTGAATCAGATGGGTTTTTCCGACAATCAACAGTGGATTCATGGTCATCATTGATTCTTAATTCCAGATATTTTATCAAATGCAAATTCCACCATCTGCTGTTGAGGGCTTTGAACCCGGGTCCCCAGAATGTTATCTGGATCTCTGGATTAACAGTGAAAATACCACCAGGCCATCGCCTCCCCCGTCAATGCTCAATTCTGTGCAAAACATTGTTTTGGCTCCAGAGCAGCTTCCATTAACTCTTAATCATTAATACAACTTAACAATGTGCATACTTTGTTGTGGCAAGACAGAATTTGACAAAATAGCCATTTTGTAAAAGTTAAGCAGGAAACAGTTAAAAAACCACAGATGCATAAAAATAAACCTTCATAACTAGTGCACAACCATTTCATTGCTGAAAGGAAAGTGAAGTCTACGATATTTGATGATGAATTGACAATTTGGAAGATAGTTGTGAAGTATTTTCATGGGAAAGAAATGGATTTTGGGGAAAGGGTGGTTAACATAGATAATTACCATTAAGTGCAACAGTAAACCACTGCAAATGGATTGTCACTTACAGTCATAGAGGTATACAGCACAGAAACAGACCCTTCGGTCCAACTCACCCATGCCAACTAGATATCTTATGTAAATCTAGTCCCATTTGCCAGCATTTCGGCCATATCCCTCTAAATCCTTCCTATTCATATGCCCATCCAGATGCCTTTTAAGTGCAACTGTACCAGATCCCACCACTTCCTCTGGCAGCTCATTCCATACAACCACCCATTGCATGAAAAAGTTACCCCTCAGGTCCCATTTATATCTTTCCCCTCTCACCTTAAACCTATGTCCCCTAGTTTTGGACTTCCCACCCCAGGGAAAAGACCTTGCTTATTTACTCTCTCCAAGCCCCTCATGATTTTATAAACTCCTATTAGGTCACCCCTCAGCCTCTGACGCTCCAGGGAAAATAGCCCCAGCCTATTCAGCCTCTCCCTATACCTCAAACCCTCCAGCCCTGGCAACATCCTGGTTCCGTGGTTAGCACTGCTGCCTCACAGCGCCAGGGACCCGGGTTCAATTCTACCCTTGGGTGACTGTCTGTGTGGAGTTTACACATTCTCCCCGTGTTTGCATGGGTTTCCTTCGGGTGCTCCGGTTTCCTCCCACAGTCCAAAGATGTGCAGGCTGGGTGGATTGGCGATGCTAAAGTACCCATTGTGTTTAGGGATGTGTAGATTAGGTGGGTTACAGGGGGATGGGTCTGGGTGAGATGCTCTGAGAGTCGTTGTGGATTTGTTGGGCCAAAGGGCCTGTTTCCACAGCATAGAGATTCTATGATATCTAAGTTTCACAACATCCTTTCTATAGGAGGGAGACCAGAATTGCACGCAATACTCCAAAAGTGGCCGAACGGGAACTATCGGGAAAGTACGACCAATCTGAAACGAGGAATTAAGAGAGCTAAAAGGGGTCATGAAATATCTTTAGCAAACAGGGTTAAGGAAAATCCCAAAGCCTTTTATTCGTACATAAGGAGCAAAAGGGTAACTAGAGAAAGGGTTGGCCCACTCAAGGACAAAGGAGGGAAGTTATGTGAGGAGTCAGAGAAAATGCGTGAGATTCTTAATGAGTACTTTGCGTCAGTATTCACTGAGGAGAGGGACATGACGGATGTTGAGGTTAGGGATAGAGGTTTGATTACTCTAGGTCAAGTTGGCATAAGGGGGGAGGGGGGTGGCGGGGGGAAGTGTCGTGTATTCTAAAAGGCATTAGAGTGAACAAGTACCATCAGGATCTATCCCAGGTTACTGAGGGAAGCGACAGATAAAATAGCTGGGGCCTCAACAGATATCTTTGCAGCATCCTTGAGCACGGGTGAGGTCCCGAAGGACTGGAGGATTGCTAATGTTGTCCCCTTGTTTAAGAAGGGTAGCAAGGATAATCCAGGTAATTATAGACCGGTGAGCCTGACGTCAGTGGTGGGGAAGCTGCTGGAGAAGATACTAAGGGATACGATCTATTTACATTTGGGAGAAAATGGGCTTATTAGTGATAGGCAGCATGGTTTTGTGCAGGGAAGGTCATGTCTTACCAACTTGATAGAATTCTTTGAGAAAGTGACAGAGTTGATAGATGAGGGAAGGGCTGTGGATGTCATATGCATGGACTTCAGTAAGGCGTTTGACAAGGTTCCCCATGGTAGGCTGATGGAGAAAGTGAAGTCGCATGAGGTCCAGGGTGTACTAGCTAGATGGACAGAGAACTGGCTGGGCAACAGGAGACAGAGATTTGTAGTGGAAGGAAGTTTCTCAAAATGGAGAACTGTGACCAGTGGTGTTCCACAAGGATCCGTGTTGGGACCACTGTTGTTTGTGATATATATAAATGATCTGGAGGAAGGTATAGATGGTCTGATTAGCAAGTTTGCAGATGACACTAAGATTGGTGGAGTAGCAGATAGTGAAGGGGACTGTCGGAGAACGCAGCAGAATATAGATAGATTGGAGAGTTGGGTGGAGAAATGGCAGATGGAGTTCAATCCAGACAAATGCGAGGTGATGCATTTTGGAAGATCCAATTCAAGAGCGAACTATGTGGTAAATGAAAAAACCCTGGGGAAATTTGATGCGCAGAGAGATCTGGGTGTTCAGATCCATTGTACCCTGAAGGTGGCAACGCAGGTCGATAGAGTGGTCAACAAGGCATATGGCATGCTTTCATTCATCAGATGGGGTATTGAGTACAAGAGTTGGCAGGTCATGTTACAGTGGTATAGGACTTTGGTTCAACTACATTTGGAATACTGCGTACAGTTCTGGTTGCCACATTACCAAAAGGATGTGGATGCTTTGGAGAGGGTGCAGAGGAGGTTCACCAGGATGTTGCCTGGTATGGAGGATGCTAGCTATGAAGAGAGGTTGAGTAGATTAGGATTATTTACATTAGAAAGACGGAGGTTGAGGGGGGACCTGATTGAGGTCTACAAAATCATGAGAAGTATAGATGGGGTGGATAGCAAGAAGTTTTTTTCCCCCAGAGTGGGGGACTCAATTACTAGAGGTCACGATTTCAAGGTGAGAGGGGAAAAGTTTAAGTGAGGGATACATGGAAAGTTCTTTACACAGAGGGTGGTGGGTGCCTGGAACACGTTGCCAGCAGAGGTGGTAGAGGCGGGCACGATAGCGTCATTTAAGATGTATCCAGACAGATACATGAATGGGCAGGGAGCAGAGGGATACAAATCCTTGGAAAATAGGCGACAGGTTTAGATAGAGGATCTGGATCGGCGCAGGCTTGGAGGGCAGAAGGGCCTGTTCCTGTGCTGTGATTTTCGTTGTTCTTTGTTCTTTCAACCAATGTCCTGTACAGTCGCAACATGACCGCCCAACTCCTATACTCATTGCACTGACCAATAAAGGCAAGCATACCAAACGCCTTCTTCACTGTCCTATCTACCCGTGACTCCACTTTCAAGGAACTATGAACCTGCACTCCAAGGTCTCTTTGTTCAGCAACACAACCCAGGACCTTACCATTAAGAATGTATTTGCCTTTCCAAAATGCAGCACCTCACATTTATGTAAATTAAACTCCATTTGCCACTCCTCAGCCCACTGGCCCATCTAATCAAGATCCCATTGTTTGCTTAGGATATCTGGTCAGCGTGGATGTGTTGAACTGAAGGGTCTGGTTCCGTGCTGTATAACTCTGTGACTCTATGACTCTATGACTATTTTCTCATGTGGTGAGCAAACATCAATAGGAAGTAATGGATCCAACTGCCTGCTTGCATGTGCTAACATCTATGCTTCTCTATGCAGTGCACTGATATGCATGTTGATGCTGTTCATAAAATGGTCAACTTGTATGTAAACACAGTCTAGGAATCATGAATTCCATGCCTTTGTCTAACAATGTGCATGATTTTTGGTCACACTTTAACCTAGGTATTTTCTAGGTCCAGAGGTATTACCATAGATAACTCTGGAGCAGGTGGCACTTGAACCTAGCTCTCTTGGCTCACGGGTAGGCACACTAGCACTGCACCATAAAAGCCCATGATGCTTTATCCTAAACTTTTGTTTAAATTTTCTATTCACCTATTTTTGAATCAACCTGTCCAGAGATGTTATTACACACCTTGGGAGCAGGTGGGACTTGAACCTGGGCCTCCCAGACCAAGAATGGGGACATTACTACTGCACCATAAAGGCCCCTTATACTTTAGCCTAATGTCACACCCAAGATATGGAACACCCGCTGTGAGGGAGGGAAAATCATAGCTTACAATATATGAAGTTGAACTTGACTAAAATAATTTAAAAAGGTATTGCAAATTTAAGATGCAGAGGAAGATAAAATTTATTTTCTTAAAATCAATGAAATTCATTTCCATAGAGAACAGTGGAGGCTGGGTCATGGAATATTTTTAATGCCAAATTAGGCAGCTCTTTTGATTTACAAGGGAGTCAAGAATCAGGCGTAGGGGTTTAATTGTTTGTTAAAGGGCAACACAGCAGTGGAGGACAAACGTTATTTGAGATCATAAAAAGTGACACGTAGTGACTCGGGGGTGGTGACTTGGGTGACAACCAGCTTTGCCTCTAATTTTCTTCCAACTGCACAGGCCTCTGAGACCCATGCAAGACAGCAATTTCAGAACCAGAAGTCAATACCACAATCGGCATGCCAACACCGATCATCATGCACGGAACACTGGATGCACACAGCCAAGAGGAAAATGTTAGTGACAATATTGGTTTCCAGTCTCCCACTTCAATAAATAGCTGTTAGAAGTTCAACAGTTGGCAAGAAAGTAGACTTCAGGTGACAGTCAGATCAGCCATAATCTTACTGAATGACAGAGCAGGTTCAATGGGCTGAATGGTCTGCTGTTCCTTTTTTATGTTCCTTCATTTTTTGGTTCTTCTGGTAAATTTTATGTTCACAAATAATGAGTTTTCAGTGTTTAAAATATACATAACTTCTTCAGGAAATCTAGCATCCCAAGATCATTTGGGAGATGGTCAGCTGTGCAATCATTTCTCTATTGTGCCACAATATGATTACCTTCTTTGAATACTTTTAGTGTACCAAGACAACTTTTCCTGCTTCCACAGTAACAATCTCTGTAGTGTGATTGCAACTGTTTATAGCAAATTAGGGAGGTTAAATCTGGGATAGTAGGAACTGCAGATGCTGGTGAATCCGAGACAACAAGGTGCAGGGCTGGATGAACACAGCAAGCCAAGCAGCATCATAGGAGCAGAGAGGCTGGGAGGCTCCCAGTCGCGAACCATTTCAACTCCCCCTCCCATTCCTCAGACGACATGTCCGTCCTGGGCCTCCTGCAGTGCTACAACTATGCCACCCGAAGGTTGCAGGAACAGCAACTCATATTCCGCTTGGGAACCCTGCAGCCCAATGGTATCAATGTGGATCTCACAAGTTTCAAAATCTCCCCTCCCCCTACAGCATCCCAAAACCAGTCCAGCTCGTCCCTGCCTTCCTCCCACCTATGCCCTCCTCCCAGCTCAAGCCGCACCTCCATCTCCTACCGACTAACCTCATCCCGCCCCCTTGACCTGTCCGTCCTCCCTGGACTGACCTATCCCCTCCCTAACTCCCCACCTACACTCACCTTTACTGGGCCCATCCCCGCCCCTTCGACCTGTTTGTTTCCTCTCCACCTATCCTCTCCTCTATCCATCTTCTGTCCGCCTCCCACTCTCTCCCTATTTATTCAGAACCCCCTTCCCCTCCCCCTTTTCTGATGAAGGGTCCAGGCCTGAGAAGTCCAGGTTAAATCTGGGCCTAGTCAGCAATACTAACATTTCACAGAACAGTAACCTTTTAAACAAAAAAAGGCTATTTTGCATCACGCATCCTCGTACAGCAAGATGCGGGCTAAATTGCGTAAACTAATTTGACATGATGTTTATCGAAGAGGACCTGTTTTCAGCTTCAGCCTAGGCTCAATACAAACCCAGTCAAGGAACGTGCTAGCAACAAATTGAATTTTTTTGTAAATAAAATTTTTCTTTTCAACGTTGTGTCTCCTATCATCACCCTCCAAGAAATGCTTCCTTATCTAAACGATTAAGTCCTCTTTTGAGACTTCACTTCTCCGAACCTCCATCAATGCTGCTCCAAAAATAGGTTCCAAAGATACTCAAGACTAACTCAGGATGACTGTCTCATCTTCCATTTTGGCTTTGAGGCAATGCTTATTCGCTCTTTCTCACCCACTGATGGTAGCAGATTTAAAACTGACAACATTTTGCTTGTGGAACAGTGGATACGAACACACAAGTGAGCATTCTGTATTGTAGACAATTGGAAATTATTGATTTTATGATACTTTTTGACCTTGCATTACATTTCTGTTAATATCCTGCATTTCTGGTGCTCAAGTCAGAATATCTTACTTCGATGGACGTCCAGCATGAAACCATGAAAATGTACTCGATTTTTCCTTTTAACAGCTGCATGAGAATAAAACAGGTCCATCACCATGGTCTTGCCTGTCCCTGTGAAGAACAAGAGACTTTTCATCAATAAAATGTCACTGTATATTCTCTTTGTGGCACAATTTATTGGATTGTAAAAAGGGAGGTAATGACCTTAATGGTACTAACACTCGATTATTAATTCAGAAACTCAGGTAATGTTGTGGGGGCCCATGTTTGAATCCCATCATGGCAGATGGTGGAACTTTTAATTCAAAACAAATCTAGAATTAAGAGTCTAATTAAGTGTCCAGAAAACCATTGTCAAACGTCAGACAAACACATCTGGTTCATAATGTCCCTAGAGAAGGAAACTGCCATCTGGTCTGTAACTCCAGACCCACAGCAATGGATTTTAAATGCTCTCTGAAATGGACTAGCAAGTCAGTCAGTTATACCCATCGTTAGAAAGCAAAAAAGGAATTAAAGTAGAATGGCTTGTTTCCTCACTGTAAGGATTCTACATAAAAAAATGCCACAAACTGTCTTCCCTCAGCTGATGAATCAGTGCTCCTCCATGTTGAACAATACTTAGGTGATGTACTTATGGTGGTAAGGGTACAGAATGCACTCTAGATGGGGATTCTAATGTCCAAAAGTGGCTTGGCAGCAGCATCATTGATCACTCAAGTCCCAAAGGCTGTTGCTGCTAGACTGGATCAGCGGTAAGTGGTGAGGGAACTAACCAAGAGGGAAAAGCACACTTGACTTGATGACAGTATCACTAGAGTGACCACCGCACAATCCTTGTTGAGACCAAGTCTCAACTTCACATTGAGAATAACTTGCAGCATGTTGTGTGGCATTAGCACGTCGCTAAATGAGACAGCCTTGGATTAGATCCAGCAACTCAAAATTGGGTATCTATGAACTGCTGTGAGTCATCAACAGCACCAGAACCATTGTACAACACAATGTGCAATCTCATGACCCTTCATATCTCCCCACTCTCCCATTACTAGCAAGCCAGGACATCAACCCTGGTTCAACAAAAAGTGGAGGAGGGCATGCCAGGAGCAGCACCAGGCATACCAAAAAACAGTGAGGTTCCCACTTGGCAAAACTAAGGAGAACCAATTAGATGCCAAACAGCATAAGCAAAATGCAAGAGACAAAGCTAAGTGATCCCACAACCAATGGATCAGATCCAAGCTCTGCTGCCCTGGCACATCCAGTTGTGAATGATGGTGGACAATTAAATAACTCATTGGAGGACAAGGCTCCATAAAATAGCTCATCTTCAAATGATGCAGAAGCCCAGCACATCAGTGCAAAAGGCAAGGCTGAAGTATTCACGACAATCTTCAGCCAGAAATGCAAGTGGATGATGCATCTCAGTCTCCGCCAAAGATCCCCACCATCACTGATAGCAATGTTTGATTCACTCCATGTGATATCAAGAAACGGTTGGAGGCACTGGATACTGCAAGGTGATGGACCCTGACAGCATTATGCAAAGGTACTGAAGACATGTGCTCCAGAACTTGCCACTCCTCTAGGCAAAATGTTCCAGTACAGCTATAACCCTGGCATTTACCTGAAGATGGGGAAAATAGGTTGGCTGTGTTCTATACACAAAAAGCAGGACTAATCCAACCCAGCCAATTACTGCCCATCAGTCTATTCTCAATCATCAGTCAAGTGATGGAAGATGTTCCCAACAGTGCTATCAAGCAGCACCTGCTCAGTGATGCCGAGTCTGGGTTCCACCAGGGCCACTCAGCTCCTGACTGCATTATAGCATCAGTTCAAAATGGACAAAAGGCCTGAATTCCAGGGAGGTAACAGTGACAGCCCTTGACATCAAGGCCACATTCAACAGAGTGTGGCATCAAGGAGACCTCATACATCTGGAATCATGGGGCAAACCCTCAGCTGGTTGGACTTACATCTGGCACTGAGGAAGATAGTTGTGGTTGTCACAGGTTGGTCATCTTAGCTCCAGGACATCTCTGTAGCAGTTGTTTAAGATAGTGTCCTATACCCAACCATCTTCAGCTGCTTCATCAATGATCTTCCCTCCATCATAAGGTCAGAGGTAGGGATGTTCCCTGAAGACTGCACAATGTTCAGCACCATTTGTGACTCTTCAGATAATGAAGTTATCCATATTAAGGATGACACAGTGGCTCAGTGGTTAGCACTGCTGCCTCACAGCGCCAGGGGCCTGGGTTCGATTCCACCCTCAAGTGGCCATCTGTATGGAGTCTGTACATTCTCCCTGTGTCTGTGTGGGTTTCCTCTGGGTGCTCCAGTTTCCTCCCACAGTCAAACGATGTGCACGTTAGGTGGACTGGCCCTGCTAAATTGCCAGTAGTGTCTAGGAATGTGCAGGCTAGTTGGATCAGCCACTGGAAATGCAGGGTTACAGGGATAGGGTGGGATGCTCTTCAGAGGGTTGGTGTGAACTTGATGCGCCAAATGGCCTGCTCCCACACTGTAGGGATTCTATGTTCAACTGCAACATTCTGACAACAGCCAGGCCTAGGCTGAATAGTGGCAAGTAACAGTTGTGCCACACGTGCCAGGCAATGACCAGCTCCAATTCGAGATAATCTAACCATCATTCCTTGAGATGCAATTTCACTACCATCACTGAAACCCCATAATCAACATCTTAGAGCTTACCATTCACCAGAAACTCAACTAAATTTGCCGCATAAACACAGTGGCTACAAGAGCAGGTCAGAGACTAGGAATACCGCAGCAAATAACTCACCCCCTGACTCCCCAAAGTCTGTCTATCATCTACAAGGCACAAGTCGGGAGTTTGATGGCATTCTCCCCACTTGCCTGGATGGGTGCAGTGCCAACAACAAATCAAGAAGCTTAACACTATCAAAGACAAAGCAGCCTGCTTGACTGGCACCATAACCAAAGCATCCACCATCGACACTCAGTAGCAGCAGTAATGTACCATCTTCAACATGCACTGCAGAAATTTACCAAAGATCCTGAGATAGCACCTTCCAAACTCGTGACCACTTCCATCCAGAAGAACAGGTGCATCAGATACATGGGAATACCACCACCTGCTAGTTCTCCTCCAGCCACTCACCATCCTGACTTGGAAATGCATTGCCATCCCTTCACTGTTGCTTGGTTAAATTCCTGGAATTCCCTCCCTAAGGGCATTGTGGGTCTACCTACAATAGATGGACTGCAGTGGTTCAAGAAGGCAACTTACCACCACCTTCTCAAGGGCAACCAGGGCTGGGAAATAAACACCGGCCCAGCCAATGACACCCTAGTCCCACGAGTGAATAAATAAAAAGGACTATAATACAACACTTATCACTTTCAATTGCTGTATGAAGTGAAGATTCTGTAGCAGGTGCATAGGTTAGCTAAACTTGTGAAACATCCTTTTTTTGAGCGATCCATACATAAATATACAAAGACCTAACAACTTGAATTTGACAACATCTAATTACCAAACCACAAATCTGGGAGAAATTACTGTTTAAAACAAGCTGTTTTTCTTGCCTACTAATCAATGCAACTAGCACAGTTGAGTACAATGGCAAAATGGCTTTTGTACATTAATACACAAGTGAGAGTTCATATCCTAGCTGTTTAAATTCATTTAGTAAATAAATCTGGAATTAAAAAGCTTTTAAGTCAGCAATGGTTATCACATATCTATCAAACTGCTGTCAGATTCACAAATATTCTTTAAATACGGAAATATTACCTAGTCTGGTTTCTGTCTGACTACAAATCCACAACAATGTGGATTGAACTACCTTATAAACTGACCAAGCAAGTCACTCAAACTACAATGATTGTGTATGTAACTGGAAAGGTCACCCCGCAGCAATCAATTGACACATTTAATTTAGATGGAATGAACACAACCTGTGATAAAGATCCTCAGTATTTAGTGAAAGACTAAAAAATGGGGACTGGGACATCTGTTTGCCCCAGTCACTTGCATCCCTGTCCTCGAGTATGGCTTCTCCCACATGCTTGACAAGGCTCGCCAGAGTTGGCAACACAGTCATGTACAGAGTTGGGAGGGGGTTGCTCTGGGATTTCTGAACAGAACCTAATAACTCTCATGGGAAGAGATGATATTTGGACAGGTAAAGCTCACACTGATTAACACCTATTGCCCTCCCTAAACTGATGAATCAGTCCTCCAGCCATCCAGAATTCCTGTGGGAAGAGCATCATGGGTATCAAATAGGGCAAAGAATTTATTTGACTTCAAAATCCATCACCTACACAGTGCCTTGGTACTGCCACTGCTGATCAGGTTGGGAGAGTCCAGAAGAGTATAGCTGCTGAAATGGGCTGGCGCGACAGAGAGAGAATTAACACCAGGAAAAATACCAACATGATCTCATCCTTGCTGATCTACTCCTTGCAGATGGATCAGTCCGTGACAATATTACTGGGATTCAGGCCACTACCTCAACTGCACAGTCTTTGTGGAAATTAAGTCCCACCTTCAAACTGAGGAACAGTTGCTGTGTAGCATGCTGTGTAGCATGAACATTGAGCTAAACCGATCAGTTGAACAGACTGGATTAAGAACAGAAGCTCCAAATAGGATATTCCTGAGGTGCTCTGAGCATTAGCAATAGTAAAAACCACATGTCACCACAATATGTAACTTCATGGCCAAGTACGGCTTCACTTTACCATTGATCTCAAACCCGATTTAATGAGAATTGCATGAGCAGCACTACCATCTAAAAATGAGATGCCAACCTGGTGAAACTACAATGCAAATGGCCTGAGTCAGAGGCAAGTGATGCCCATAACTAAAGCACCAAAGTTGTAACTGGTGATGGGCAATAAAACAACGGACTTAAGGAGAAAACTTCATGAATGTCTCTGTGATGATGCGGCCCAACACTTGAATGCAAAAGACAAAGGTTACATATTCTAACCATCTTTCACAAGACTGCAATGTAGCCACTAAGAATGAGCCAAGCAGTGGCCTCAAAAAGGTACCATGCAGGCCTTGTTCTGGGATAAATGACAAATATGCAGAAACACTTCACTGTCCAGAT